GGCATGTGGGGGCGAGATGGCAGTGAGGATGTCGGGGCAGGGCCAGAACAAAGGAGCCTGGAGAGGGCCTTCCAATGAGGTCAACTTCCTGCTTGATGAAAGCCCTCCTGGACACAGCAGGGGACCCACTCAGACAGACACTTCCCTACCTGTGCTCCTAAGTGGGGGATCCAACAGAAAAACTAACATAAGCGTGTGGACAGAGGGGGCACCTGTCAGTAATAGTGACGAGAGCGTGGAGGGTGGGGGTGTGACAAGAAAAGGAGGGAATTCCAGAGATCATAAAAAGAACAGGCCAAACTCTGCTCTGGACTCCCAGCTCTGGGGCCTTTTCTCTGTAGAGAAGTCTGTCTGTGTGGCTTTGGCAATAAACCTGCTGCTTGCTTGCTCTCTCTGTGTGTCCTGCTCTTCAATTCTTTGCTGAAGGGAGACAACAAACCCAGCACCCCTAGGCCGTCACAGTACAACTGTTATGGAAAACAGGATAGAGGTTCTTCTCTCAAAAAATTAACAACAGAAGTACCAGAATCTCCCTTCTGGGCATTTATCCAAAAGAACTGAAAGCCCAAACTTGCAGAGACATTGGCTCTCCCACGTCCACTGAAGCATTCATTACCTATAATGATCAATGATAAGGAAACTACCCAAATGTCCACTGAATGAATGAAGAGTGGGATATTATTTGCCTTAGAAAATAGGGTAATCCTGTGCCACTCAACATGGAGGAAGCTGGAAGGCAACAAGCTCAGTGAAATAAGCCTTGATCATAGGGCAAATACTTGCAGGATTCTATTCAGATGAGGTAGCTAAAGTCCTCCAACTCAGGGAAGCAGAAAATGAAGTGGTGGTTGCCTGGGGCAAGGGTGGGGAAATAGGGTATTCCCTTCCAAAGGCCTAGAGTTTTAGCCATGCAATTTTAAAAAGTTCTCAAAATCTTTTTTTTTTAAAAAAATCACAATAAAAAAGGATAAAATACTTAGGAATCATGTTAATAAAAGAACTGCAAGCCCTAAGCCCCCAAACCTGCAACACCTGCTTGAAAGAAATTAAAGAAAATGTAAATAAATGTTCATGTACAGTACTTGAAATTATGAAGTACTTAAAGGATTTCAACCAAACAGTAAACCTCGACTTTGAGGGAAGAACAAGAGTGGCAGAACAGAGGATTGCCAGGCAGATGCCCACATACCCACTGTGGCTCAGGGTCCCTCCAGGAGGGTCTGCCTGGGACCCAGCTATCTGCGCTCTCATCAGATGACCCCTTTCTGCAGACCCTTCTTGCACATGTGCACACAGCTGCAACTTCTCTTGCTTGAAGTCACCATCTCCACATTAGACCTCAGTCAGGCCCCTTATTTATTTATATTTTAGACTCCTGAATGTAATTGTTTTGGTCCTGACCTGAGTTCTAGAAGCATCATATTCAACCAAAGGCCGATTGACACTTCCAAATGGAGGGGTTCTGGGAATCTCAATGCAGCCTGAGAACTCCTGATTTCTCCCTGCCCAAACTGACCCTTCCCCATGGCTCACCCAGCAGATCCAACCAAAGCCCTAAGGTCATTCTTACTGTGGAAAACAGCTTCCAAGTTCATGGACAGTTCACTTCTTAGGGCCACTTATCCTCCTTGCAAAACAGCACTGCTTCCAGTGAAAAGAAATCCTTCTGCTGTATTTCCGTTTTCTAAATGACACATTATACCGGCCTAGGCCTTGCCAATCTCTCTTCTGGATTCATGAATCTGCCCTCATTTTCAAGGCTCATCTTAAAGGCCACCTGCCCAGGCAAGCAGTTCTCAGCCAGTCAGCCCAGCCCAGCCCCAAGCCACCAGTTCTGTTTTCTTCTGGGATTCTGCAGGTTCTAAGCTTCTCCTTTATCTTCTCCCAGAATAACATGGGCATGTCGACAGGGCCTCTGCTCTGCTCACTGCTGTGTCCCCAGTGCCCAGCACAGCTCCTGGAGGTGGTGAATATCTATCTGGTCAACAATCTTGCAAGGACTGCTCCTAACTAAAGACTTCTAACTAAAAGGAGGCATCCAGCTGGTCTCTCCTCCTGCTCTATTGAGAAACTGATGTGACTCCATTTTTGAGAAACCAGCCTCTACCTCAGAGCAAAGCCTGTCCAAGGAAGGGGGCGTGACCCTTGTCCTTGGAAAGACCCACAGAGCACTCCTAGGCACATACCCACCCTGCTGAGTTGTTTGCAAATAACAGGAAAGATCTGCAGCTCCAGGTGTCTTTGACTCAGTTAGGCTAAGTGAGGACTGAAAGAATTCCCCACGCAAAGACACTTCGCCGGGAGAATTCCAATTTTATTGCAAAAAGCAGTGTGCTTATATAGAACTAAGGGGGAGATGGTAGGGCTTAGATAAATGGCAGGCAACCCGTTTACTGGCAAGTTCTTTCAGATATCAGCTCCGGAGCCCAGGAATTAGTTCTCATTGGGGCTAAGGTTCCCCGCCAGCGAGATTTGAAATTGGCGCCGGCGGGAGAGTTCACACGGGCGGGAACTTTTCGCGCCACTGCAGAAAAGAAGAAGGTAGGAAGAAGAGGTGCTTAGGCGCCATGTTGGGGTTTTTTCTCTGGGGTATGGCTGCCGTTTATACTTTTCCCAACAAGGACCCATAGCAACCGCCTAGCAACCACCAATCAGCATGAGACAGGGAAAATACCTGGGATGCCAAACGACCCCCCACCCCCCACCCCACAGTAGTTTATGGTGGTTGATAACATGTTGGGAAACCATGTAGTTTAGCACATACACCCCTCGTGGCCTAAACCAATCAGTTCAAAGGAATCCCCCTCTTGTACTAACCAATCACCCCTACCCAACTTGTTCCACCAGTGAATGTGCTTAATCAATGTTAAGAGTTGTTGTTTGGCTTTCCCACAGTATGAAATGATTTGCTGTGTGATGTTGTGACACGTAGAGTATCTCCGAAAACCTATAAAAATCCTCACTGAACAACGGACCAGGGTTCACTCCCTGGGACAGCTGCGTCGGAACGTTTGTGAGTCCAGGTTGTGAGTCCAGGCTCGAGCTTGCAATAAAGACTCTGTGTGATTGCATCAGATTTGGCTCCTGAAGGTCTATTGGCATCCCTCGAGTCTGGCATTACACTATCTCCACAGAGAGGTGTCTATCAGTCACTGTTCCCACAGACGGAACCTGCTTGCCAGGCCCTGTGCAAGGCACTGGGTTACAATGACAAGCAATACAAGCTGTAGTGTGCGATGGCAGTGCTTATCTGCCTAGTACCAGTCAGGACCTGGTACAAGACCAAGCTGGGAGACCACGCATGTTTCCTACACGGTTCTCTTAGTAGATGCTGGGAGCATTTTCCTTACAGCACCTTGCTGAGCCCTCAGAGCAGCCTCTAGGTGTCATCTCCTCCACCCCATCTGTGTGACAAGGACCCAGGACTCCACAGTTCCCTCACAGATCCTTTCTCTAGAAGACATCCTCTTAGAAAGAGCAGGAGGGCAGCGGATCTTGGGAATCAGGGTGGGATAGGCTGTGACTGCTGTCATGGAGGTGGGGAAGGGAGTCCAGTTGGGCATGGGTGCTAGGGGACAGTTTCAGGCAGGGGGGACTCCTGCTGGGAAGGAGAAAAGGACAGAACTTGGTCCATGGGCAAGGAAAAGAAAGAGTGGGTATTCTTCTTGGGTAACTGCCTGTTCCCCCTTCTCCCCACTAGCCCCAGGTCAAGGACAGAAGCTGATACAGCACAAGTTTGATGAACTTTCTTACATTTAATCAGGCAATGTTACAACGTGTTCATGCCACATGAAACCTCATGATACCAAGTGTGAGGGCACCTGTCAGGGGGTAAACACAATCTCTCTCTCTTCTGGAGGTGGGCAACCTGAGAGCCAAGGCAGTGTCCACTCACCTGGCCTCCTGCTACCTGGTGGGCGGCAGTCACTGGCCAGCAGGATTCCAAGTCCTGGACATAGACATGGCTTCCCTCAGGCTTTCCCTTGAACTGCACCTGAACCTCGCATGTGGGTGGGGTTTTGCAGCTACAACACCCCATGGCTGGCCCAGGTCTCCAAGGCCACTGCTCAGGCAAGTAGATCTTGTTCTCAAGAGGCACAGGAAGCCAGTGGAACAGAAGAAAAACACCCCTGAGTGTCCGCACAAGACGCTAATTGCTTTGAGGGACACAGGGGGAGAGAGGCTAAAAATTATCTGTCAGCTGAGAAAACCAGAGACACAGGTGCAGATGGACACCTGGAGGAGGCAACAGGGACCCAGGGTTCCCTGGCACCACCCACAGGGATCCCGGAGTCCTGAGGGCTGAGGGAGCCAAGGGGGCTGCAGGCAGGTCCAGCAGCCTGGGTGGGCTCGTCCTCAGCCATCTGCTTCCTCCTGGACCACAGCGCGTGGCAACGAACACACAGACTAGCAAACGAGGTGAACACAACACAAAGAGCCCCCACTGGAGGCCTGGGTCCAGTGGAGGCAGGAACCGCAGGACCTGGGAAGGGAGAGAAGACGTGCTCAGCGCCAGGAGGGCAGACCGCAGGACGGAGGTTTGGGGGGGGGGTTGCTGGGGGCGTGGCCGGGACTGCGTGGGCTGCTGTGGCCCCCAGAGGCTCAGGCCTGGCATCGGCACCAGGCAAAGCATGAAGGGGGGTGGGGGTGGCTGGGTCGGAAGACCTAGATTTGAAACCTGGCTCTGCCACCAGAAGTCACTGTAGTGCTTCAAACTGGTCTTGTAACCTCTGACGTCTAAAAGGCCCAGCTAGGCTGATGGGACCATCAAGTCACACGGCTATTTAATACAGTGATGTCTATAAAAGTGTCAGCTGTGACCTGTGCAGCCCTGCTCAGATGGGTGTGAAGCAAAAATTTATCAGAGGGCTCTGACTCTCTAGGTGGCAAAGGAAAGCCTGGGGTGGGGGGGTGGGCCTCCAGAAGCCTGGCCCAATCCCGGGACCCTCTGGGCAATAGGTGGGGAGGGGTCCACTAAGCCCTCAAGGATGCTCACCGTGTCATTCAGGGGTCGGCAGCATTTCCAGGAGCATGTCCTCTACCCTGTTGTACTGAGGGTGGGGACGCAGGAAGGGAGAGAAACAAGGAGTGATCAGACCAGCGCCCTGCCAACTCTCCCTCCATCCCTGCCTAGGCGTTCTAGTGGCCTGGGCAGCAGGCGGGACCTGGGTGGCACAGGTCTTCCCCTTCAGGCTTGGCCTGTGACTGTTGGCCAAAGAGGGTCTCCCTGGGGACCTGAGAGGACAACCAGTCTTCCAGTTGTAACTACTTTCTGATCCAGCCCGTTGCCACCCACGTTGTTAATCCCCTCCATTATTTTAACTTTGGTGCTTGGACAGGGAACACAGAACACAGAGGCCAACATGGGGTGGGAGCAGGGCTGCCCAAGGTCCCCCACTCTGTCCCCGGGGGAGACCTGTGCTTGCCTCGATGTGGTACACTATGCGCCAGAGGCTGGAGTCTGAGCCTCGGTATCTTCTTTCAGGGTACAGCTGATACAACAAAGGCAGGAGGCTCGGAGTCATCTCAGTGGGACTCAGAGGGTTATCCAAGGGGTAGTCTTCCTGGCGCATGAGCACCTGGAGGCTACCCTCCATCTGCAGAGGAAAAAGTAGGGAACACTTTCAGGTCCCGCTCACCAGCTCCTCCAGGCCACCCAGCAGCCCTGGCCTGGACTTACAGGGGCCAAGCACGAGAGGCTGGCGGTCACTGCCCCCAACACTCAGCTCCAGCCACATATGCTCTTCTCAGGGACTCTGGTGGCCAGTAGTCTAGCCAGCCAGGCAGGCCGTAAAAGCACACTTTTTCCTGCCAAGCTGCCAGTGGCTAGGCTAGACCCGGGGGCCCTTCTGCCTGGAGCCCTTTCAGCCATCATGGGATTTTTTTTTCCTTTCATTTTAAACATTTTGTCCAAGCTCCTCTTCTAAACCCAGTATCTCAGCTCCCCAGTCTGGTGACAGACCAACCTCACTCTCTACCTACCACTGTCTCCTGCCTGGACTGTGGTGACAACCTCCTGACTTGCCGGGGCCTGTGCCTGCTCTCTGCCCAGCACCTCCCAGCACAGGCAGAACAATTCTGAAAGTCCCAAAGGCCCACGCAGCCAGGCCTCTGCTGCCCTGCCCTGTTAGCCACCTTCCACCTCACTCTGGCCACACAGGCTCCTGGCTTTTCTGGGACCTGTACCATTCTGCCTGCTTCTAGAAACCCTCTGCATCTGCTGCTTTCCTTGCTTGGAACATTCTCCCCAAAGCTACACGGGACTCGCACCCTTCTTTTAGGGGTCTCTACTCAAATGCATGTCTGTTAAAATATAACAAAGCAATGTGACAGAGTGGAGACGAAACCCACTGGTTTTATCAATAACTGCACATCAGCTTCATTCACCAACTCAAGGACAAAAATATCCACAAAGCCCAACCCTAGGGACTCTCAGCCTCTCAGCCCCATTTTTCTCCTGCACAACTTAGTACCAGCTTCATTATTTTGATACAGTGGGTTTCTGTCACCTTTACTGCAAATCCTCAAGCCCAGAACTGTACTTGGCATATAAACTAGGCACTCACATTTGTTCAGCCAGTATTTCTCCACAAGTGAAAATAGTTCTATAAAATTGTTACAAATCACTGTCAAAAAAAAAAAAATATTTGGATCACAGTGCAAGGTGTCGGTGCCCTGGAAATCACCATTCTTGTGTTTATAGTCTTTTATATCCTTTAACTATTTTCATTTTGTATTATTCCTCCTTTTTATTAATTTAAGAAAATCCTTCCATATTAGAGATACTGGTTCTTGGATTTACGCGAGTCAGATCCTGCCCCACTGTGGGAGGATGTGTTATTTTTCAGGTAGCATTTATCGTGATTGTGAAAAACTGTCTGGCTTGTGGTTTTGGTGAGAAGATGTTCCCCAACTAGAGATTAAAAAAAGATATTTGCCTAATTTTTTTTTCAGATTCTTGACTTAAAACAAAGAAAATATTTAACTTGATTTTGGAAAAGGTCTATATGTATATTTAGAAATTTGGGGGGGGTTGGGGGGGTGGTACCAGGATTGAATTCAGGGGCACTCGACCATTGAGCCACATCCCCAGCCCTATTTTGTATTTTATTTAAAGACAGGGTCTCACTGAGTTGCTTAGCGCCTTGGTTTTGCTGAGGCTGGCTTTGAACTCTTGATGCTCCTGCCTCAGCCTCTGGAGCAACTGGGCCCTGCTATACTTAGAAATTTTAAAGAACAATAAAATTGCAAATTTAGGTGGTAGTAAAGAGCCTGTTGCAACCTTATCTTACCTGCTAGCAGCACTACCTTGGACAGGTTTACATGTTTAAGCCTCAGTTTCTCATTAGCAAATTAGAGACATAGTCAACCCTTAATAGCCTTTTCCTGTATACTATATTACATGCATGTTCTAAGGTTTATGTATGGAGTTGCAACAATTTTTGCTTCTATTTGAGAAAATCCAACCTCTGATGGATAGTACCTTTTTTAAAAAAAATAAAAGAGTTATATTTCTTACAAAGACCTGTTAACACTAAAGAGTAATCTTAAGGGCTCATACATAAAATGAAGTCAAAGTTTGATATTGCTGTTGCCTGCTAAGTTTATCTGTTCCAAAGCTTCCAGGGGATACAAAAACCCTGCCGTCCAGGGCACAGCTTCTCACACTAGCTTATAGCTATCTACTGAATGTGCTTTTTAAAATACAGATTTCTGGGGCCCACCTAAGCAGACTCTGGTAAGTGACCCATGCACTAATCACTTCCTTTAAAGATATTCCCATTTTATATAAACTAGGACCTTGAAGCCCTGAAGAGTCCTCTTTTGCTCAGCATCATGCATGCTCAGAGACAATAGGTCCCTATCCTTGGCCAACATGCCCTAGCAGTTTTCCCAGCCTCCTGGAAGAACTCTTTTTCATCCTACAGAGCCCAGTTCTAAAAAGTTTCAGCTGGGGCCGCCCTGGACGGACCAGCCTTCTAAGTCTTCGGGCGGTGCCTTCACCATGCGGGACAGGAGAGGCTCCTCTGGGCCCGAGGAACTCGAGGGGCTGGGCCGAGGCTCACTTGCAGGCAGGGCCCGCCCAGGGCTCACGAGGTGTACCTTGATGATGATGGGCAACCAGGTTCGATAGGTCTCGTCCACAAACAAGAGCATGTTCCACCTCCACAGGTGGTCGGGGTCCGGGGGGTAATCCGGTTCGAATGGGAACCCTTCCATGACACCTTTTGTGGCCCTGCAAAAGAGACGGGAGCGGAACCAGGTACCGCTGCCCGCTAACGCTGGGCTGCAGGACTGCTGGGCTTTATAGTCTCCAGCGCCGGCGCCCCCTGGCTGCGGGGCGGGAGGAGGCGGGGCTCGAGACGCGTGGGCGGGGATAGGGGCGGGGCGCGAAGCCTTGCTCTCTGCAACCCTGGTAGCATCTAGGAGTGCAGACCCGGTCCCATCAGGCCCCGGGGCTTCCCCAAGGCTCCCACCCGGCCTTGCCCTCTGGGCACTACCCACTGCTGGGGCCCTGGGGCTTTGGCTCAGAACTCATCTGTGCACTGAGAAAGCAACCCAGAGCCTGGGGCCCCCCTCCACATTTGGGGGTTTAGAAGAAACCCACAGGAGCCTGAACCAGGCCTAGGTTTTCCCAGGTTCACTAAATCACCTTCAGCCTGAGCTTTTGTGTGGCACAATCAATTTCCTTGGCAAACTGCAACTCCGGAAGCACCCCCCACCCTAAGACATGCCTTTTCCATGGCTTTGAGGATGCTGTGGTCATCTATTAGCTATTGCAAAACTTGGTGTTGCGGACACGTGGGTTTTTCCCTTTATGCTTTGAGTTCATTAGTGAACGCATCATTTAATATGAATACTTAAAAAAAGAAACCCCTTTCTCCACCCCAAGATCAATGGATTTGAAAAGTCCCTAGGTTATATGATTCAAACCATCTCTTTGTAAATTACAACAAATAAGGAAAACAATTTCACTTTATTTTGCAGTAACACATGCCCATTAAGACAATTAAGTAAGTAAAGCATAATGAAAAACATGTAAGATCGGCTCCAGGCTGGTTGCTCAAACATCACTGCTGGTAGCAGTTTGGTGCCTCATCTTCTAGCTCTTTCCTCTCTGAAGAAGTACTGAGAAAACCATTAGTGATCTTTGAAATGCCACTCAAGTGAAAATAAGAGATCAGGAAGGGGCATGTGCTCCACCTGGCAGGTGAGTTTCTGCTTCTGCGCTTATCCAGACAGCCCAGTTCCCAGGTTGGCAGAAGCTGAGGTAGCTCAAGGTCAGAGAGGTATACTTAGATTAACCAGGAACACAAGTAGAAGACAACAGCAAAGCCAAGTTTGGAGGCCGAGCAGCTGTGAGCCCAGCAACCATCTTTGCTCGTGCAGCTCTAAGTGATGTGAGTATATAATGTTCAGACTTGAGGTTTTCAGGCCGATTTCCCTGTGGATGGCTTTTTGACTCCAGTCCCACATAGCCACACAACGAGATGAAAACCTCAGGAATAAGCTCTTGTCAGGGAAGTCTGAGCCAAGTCCAAAGCTTTGAAGTCAGAAATGTTAAATCCAGTTTAAAGGCCTCGGGATGGCCTTTTGTGGCATGGGAAAGGGGTCCTCCAGGAACCAGTGTAGCCACTGATCCAGCCACAGCCATGGCCCCAGGACTCAGAATGCTACTGAATTTGTCCATTTTGTTCATACCCACTCTGCTTTTCTAAGAGGCCATAAAGAAATAAATAATGGGCCAAGAATCAGATCCACTTGGTTGGGTGAGTTTCTGAATGTTCTGGGAAAATGACTCCTTTTTTCCCCCCACTTTGAAAAAGAGTATTTCTTTAATTTTGCACAAGGGCTTCTTAATATGGAGCAAGAGTATGTACCATTCTTGTGTGGGATTTAGAAACTTACTTGAGAAAGGGTTCCAAAAAATGAAATGAAATAAGGATGATTGAGGCCTTTTGGGCAGCTGCTGTGGGGGCCTTGGCCCTTCTTCATGGAAATTCTACCAGAGGAAACAACTGCTTTGGTGTGGCCTAGTAGACAGGGAGCCTCCCAGCATGGTTTCTGCCTGTCTTAGAGCTCCAATGTCAGTCTTTTGAACTTTCTGTTCCCTTCTGACTCTTTCCTTATTAGTCTGAGGGTTCCCTGAGAATATGGAAGTAGATGCTTGACGAATTATTTTCCCTAGCTAAAGCTCTCAGTCCTGCCTTAGGCCTAGTTTTGACTTGACCACTATCGCCTGTCAGCTTGGAAGATCCTTTGCCAGCTCGGCCTCAGTGCCCCACTTTTGAAATGAATGGGCCAGGTTCTGTGTGTCCATTTCTGTCTCAATAGTCTCTGATCTTTCAACAGAGTGGCTCAGGGAGGAGGGATCTGATAAAACGTGGAAGCTTGTGAAGTTAGTTCAGGAAAGACTACAGGACTGAGGGCTCTGGCTATCAAGGACCCCTGCAAAATTCACTCTTCTGGAGTGAGAAAGCCATCCTTCTTGTTTGGGTTCCCAAGAAGGGGATTAAGTATGAGTCACCGTCAGCAGGATGATCTACAGCCTTGGTATACCAAGTGTGGACCCTGGAGCTTCCACAGCATCACCTGGAGCTCATGAGGACTGCAGAATCCCAGCCTCCCCAGGCCTCCTGAATTAGAATCTGCATCATAACAAGACTACCAGGTGATCTGTGGGCATACAAGGGTGGGGGCAGGGGGAGGAGATGGCTCATCCTCTAATGCTGGCTTGCTCTCTCGAGGACACAAGATGAAGATATGTGTTTCTGTATCATTTAGCTCTAGGCTATTCGTTTTCTGTTAAAATCACATCTAATGTACAGCTTTTCCTCTTAGAAGAAAATCCTAGTAACCAAAGTCAACCCAGCTAATTATTGTCAGTGATTGCAACAAATTGTGAAGACCGTGCTTAGAAGGCCTTCAGTGCCCAGGCCTCTGGCTCCTGCTCTGACTGGACCTATACCACTAAGAATCACCTGGGAAGCTTGCATAAAATGCCTAAACCTGGAACCAGCCCGATCCAGGTAGTTCAGAATCTCTGAAACAGGCTTGTGTATTCTTCTTATTTTTTTAATGACACTTTGAGTGATTTCACATGCAGCCAGGGGTGAGTACCACTTAGATTTGAGTTGCTGGTTTTGAGGTATGAACAGATTTATAAAACTAACCATGAAAATTTCAAAGCTCTTCTTTCTACCACCAGTTCTCATTTGTATCCCTCATCCCAACCCCATATTTTACTTTTTCCCCTTTGACCTACTTTAAATCTGCTGCTTCCAATCTTTTGTGGGCAAGGAACCAGAACACTGACTTTATTGGCATTGTGAGCACCTGAGGCCTTGCCACTGGGCACGTCTTAGAAGCCCTGAAGGGTCCATGTCAAGCTTCCATGCTCCAGCCTGGAGTGGGATTTTTGGTTATTCCTAGATCTGGGCCATATTCCAGTTAATTAAAACTGTAGATGAAGTGAGGGTAAAACAATGCTATTACCTTTACACATAAGGGATGAAATTGTACCTCTAGACTAATGGAGAATCTGGGACAAGGATATTTAAAGTAGAACTTGGGGACTGGTCCTAGTACTACCACCGCTTAGCTACCATCTCTCTCTTTAAACTTAGCAAGAGTTTTCTTTAAGTTCTAAGTGCTTCTCCAACTTTCAGGTGCACACGAGGATCTTGTTGAAATGCAGAGTCTGAGTTGGTAGGGTTGGGGCAGTCCCTGATATTCTGCATTTTTCAAACGTTTCTAGGTGAGGCTAATTCTGATGTGCTATGAACCACCACTGTGTGGCAAGGCCCTAACTCCACCCTGTCCCCATGCACAAAACAAATGCAAACTGGCAACACAACCCATCACCCCTGCTCACGCATGCCCAGTAGTGGACGCTGAGAAGCTGTAGAGTGAGCACTGAATTTGTGTCATTCATTTCTTGACCCTGAGATTATTGCACATTTTGGAAATTTCCTACAGTATTTTTGGTGTTTCATATCAACTTATTTTTTTCTTCTAGTTCCACTCTTAATCTTTCTTTAAATTTAACTTGGTTATAGTAATTTCCCCTCAGAAACATATTTCATATACTGCATCTTTTTATTCCTCCTCAAAAACTGGCTCACAATCTTCATGTTTCTAGATAAACTGATATAATATCTTGACTATGGATTTCATTCAGATTTACACTGAAAATGTCCTTTGTATTTGAAAATGTCCTTTGTATTCGCAAAGTATCTTATGACCTAACTTTTAATATTAGGGATTTTTATATGGAATTCTAGTTGATTAACATGTGTGGGGCTTGTTTTTATGTGGGCAGTATAGGCATATGCTCCATAGGTCTGGGTTGGATAGGAACAAGCTTGTTTATTTTTCCAACTGTTTAGCCAGTCTCCCAAACACTGCTGAATAATGTATCCTTTTATATAAGATTTCTGAACAATCTGTCCTTCTACACAAGATTTCAAAGATTATTCTACACAGACAGAGAAATTAATCTTAAGTAGGTTCCACCATTATTCGATACATAGTTCCTGTGTTGAAACGGGGCTGTTTCTGGGCTCACTCTCTCTCTCAAAAAAAAAAAAAAAACAACACACTTCCAGAGAAATCATTATGAATTTGGAATACCTCGTGGGGTGGTTCCTACCGCCTTTTCAGTCTTTTAAAAAATCGTTTAGCTATTGGTGAACTTTTACATTTCTGTATGTCTTCTCAAGACTTTTTTTTTTTTTTGCATTTCACTGAATTTATACATTGGGGAAATTTTTTTCTTTAATTGAACTTTATAATATCCTCCATGGAAGTGCTGCATATTTTTGTTTAGTGTGTTTCTTCCTGTTTAACGATTTTGTTGTTTTCATATTTTACAATTGTTGTTTTCATGAATTAAAAATTCATCAAATTTTCAGGTACTGGGGATTGAACCGAGGGGCTACTACAGAACGACATCCCCAACCTTTTCTATTTTGAGACAGGGTCTTACCAATTAGCCAAGGCTGGCCTCCACTTTGCTTTGCTTCTACCTCAGCCTCCTGAATTGCTAGGATTACAGGTGTGCACCACCATGCCTGGCTAAACTCTTATATTAGTTTATGTTTTTTTTAATATTTTTTAGTTATACATGGACACAATATCTTTATTTTGTTTATTTATTTTTATTTGGTGCTGAGGGTTGAACCCAGTGCCTCACAAGTAAGAAGCAAGCGCTTTACCGT